ATTGTCTTCACCTCATTGATGCCGCCACCAGCTGCATACGGTGCATACACCTTACAAAAAAAAGATGCTATCATCGCAGCAAATGTGGAGATGAGAACGTAAAAACAAAAATCGGCAAACGGCGCCACGCGATCCCCACGGCCAAGAAAAAACTCACCCCATGTGTAGTATCCGGTGCATTCTTCCTGCTCCACACAGCAGAGGTTACGCCCAAGCCAGAAGAAATTGGCGCAGATGCCCAACCGGAATGCCGACACCCAATGCGAGCAGGCATCACAAAAAACGCCGAGTATACCCAAGACAAGGCCTGTAACAAAGGCGGCAAGAAAACCCTCATTTTGTGTGAGTGCGTTTCGTGTATGAGCTGTAATGGAACTTCCATGGGATCTGTGGTACATTGCCGTGCGTCGCTCGTTTGCCTCGTGCTGTGAACTCACCCAGTCGATTGTTGCCCAATCGGACTCTGTCGGCGCATTAACTATGCCGGTGAACTCGCCCGGCTGCCGCTGCCGCTGCTGCTGCTGCTGCATGCTGTTATCTCTTGATTTCCATGCCATGCATCCAATTGCAAAAGGTAAGGTGAATGATAAAACAGAAGGAAGGGAGAGAGAGAGAAAGAGAGAAAAAATCTCAAATACAGAAAATAAGGAAAGCGACTGCCAACGAAACAACAGAAAAGAGGGTGGGGAATATAAACAAGGGAGTGCACACATAAAAACTTTCATCGGCCTCATTTCCGCTTGTCTCTTGCCTCCTCTTCTCTCTTTACCATCTCAGTGTCCATCACGCTCCTTCTCCCCCTTGATGCGCTTTACTCGTTCCGCAATCTTCTGCTCCATCGCCCTTCGGCGCTCCTCCTCCGCTGCGCGTCTCTCCGCCTCGCGCTGCGCCCTGTCAAACGCGTCGCCCACCGCCCCCTGCTTCACGCGAAACGCCGCGGCAAACTTCTCAGCCGTCTTTTGGGCCGCCTCCTTCTCCACGCGCCTCGCCTCCCCCACCTCGTCCATGTAGTTCCGCATAAGCGAATCACGCAGCGTCTGGCACTCACGATCCACAACGTCGACTGCCACCCCGCTTGCTGTGCGCTCCTCGCGGTACAGGAAGACCCTCAGCTTGATGCTGCGCAGGGCCTCATGCCGCTGCAGCCGCGCGGCCAGCTCCCTGTTCTCCTTCGCTGAGCGCAGTGCCTCGAGTGGATTGACTGCTGCTGTTGGCACGTCATCTGTGTACTCCACTGGTGTGAACTTTGACAGCTGAGATATGGCCGCCTTGCTGCGCTGCACATAACCACTGAGGCCCGTCCCCTTCACACTAACAGACTCAATACCGTTGTACATGGCAAACCCACACACCTGCACAAAGTGAAACAAACACAAGAAAGAGGAATAAAAGGCTACAATTAAAAGAGAAAAAAAATTTTCCATCCGCAAAAGAGGGATAATAATAAAAAAAGGCATTAAAATAGATATATAAAAAAAAAAAAAAACAGTGAGTACCGCCCTCACCGGCTGAAACGGCTGCAACAGCCGCAGGAAGAAAAAGAAGAAGGGGCAATTAAAGAAACACACGAACGAGCGTCTACTGCACCCGTCAACGCCATTTACACCGTCCCCCCTCATGAGAGAACAGGTGCCTTTTTCAGTACCTCCCCGTCCAATAAAAGGCTCTCGCCGTAGTGTTTCTCCAACCTTGAAAGAAACGCCGCACAACGTCGCAGCAATTCCTCCCGCGCTCGCAAGAATCGGACCTCATGCTCGCTACGGCGTTCAAGTACGTATCGGGTGGAGATCTCATCCATTTCCCACCGCTCCGACACTTTCATTCTGACACGCATGACGCTCGTGTGCAGCTGCATGAAGAGCGGCTCCCCCTCATACAAATGATCCTGGAACTTGCGTGTGGAATTTTCGTGAAATATCGATGGGTCACGCGGGCTCCAAATCTTCCAGTGTCGCCGAGCATCCGTTGCATCGACCCCATATTCCCAATGGGATGGCATACTTGGAACCAGCATCGGGTTATAACCCACCACATTCTCCTCTTCACAAGAAGAAGACGCAACAACATAATTCTCCTGATCATCTTTTACGCTCGCTGCATCCATGTTGATCCCCGGGGCATCCCTCACCTGCCCTCTGAGCCCGGCGGAGGGCCGTTGTGTCTTATCCGTCATCCTACAATCATAGCCGCAGTCAATACTGATGTAGCCGTCGTACGTGTCTCGTTGTCTCCGGGCGCTTTCAAGCGACGACACGGACTGACCGCTGATGTCTATGCCGATCTCCTGCATGACTTTGACGGCGAGCGGATGGACCGTCGCCTCGTGGTGAACGCCACCGCTTTTGATGAACACCGTGTTTGCCGTTAGATGACGCAGGATCCCCTCCGCCATTTGCGTCCGCGCCCGGTTTGTCACCCCGGCGATCAGAATGCCGCGGCTGCAGCTGGCCATCTTCCCCCCACACCTAAAACAGGGAAGCAAAACACCAGTAATATAATATCGGCTATAAAACACTAAGCCCGAACAAACAAACAAACAAATGAAAAAAAAAAAAAAAAAAAAAGGAAATCACACATACATGCCAACTCAAAAAAAGCCAGAATGAAGCAACCCCGCCGTATGCATGTGCCTAAAACCCTCTTATATTTGTTATTGTTTTTGTTCCTTGGCGCACACACACACAGACACACACACACGCACACAGGTATACCATTACTTTCCCCACACAAAAATAAAACCCACCAATAATGATAGTAGCAACAAAAACAACAAGAACGGAGAGGAAATAGGCATCCTGTAAAATGTGTGCATCCATTACACGATACAACTAGAAGCACAATAACTTACGGGTTTGGGAAAGAAGAAAAACAACAACAACAACAACAACAACAACAAAGTTTAACCACCATCGAGTAATTTCTTTAGAACGGAAACGACCCACCCACCTTTTGTTTAAAAAGAAAAACACTACCGATCACGCAGTACGATGTCAACCTCAATGTACGCTGGCTTAACCGATTTGAGCTTCACGAATCTTTCGAGCTCTGGGTCCTCCTTCAGCTGCCTCAAGACGACGGGGTAGATGGTGGAATGCCCACAACGGCTGTGTCGCCCACTGCCAATTACAATGGTTAGCCGCCGGATGCCTTTCTGCACACACAACTGCACGCGACGCCGTAACACCTCCACCGCTTCGTCCACATGAAAACCGTGCAGGTCAAGCGTTGATGCGGGGTTCTTCGCAAGCCGCTCCCGCTCAAGAGCAATCATAGCGATGCGGTTCAGATGGACGTACTCCGCACCAAGCTGCTTGCCATGGCGGCTCAGCGTCTTTGCCGTCTTGCCATCTCCACGCTTGTAGGCCTGCGTTGCCTGACTCATAACCCGAATACGACAAGAGTTGACGATGTACGCCTGTTCACGCACGCGTCGCCAGTCACCCAACTTGCGCAGTTCGTCATCCACCTCTTCGTAGAACTTCTGGATTTCGTCCCGTGTCGCACTGGGCCGCAAGAAATAGGACGGTGGCTCCTCCGAGGTTGTCTTTTTAGATGCCGCGGCGAGTGCAAAAGTGGCAACCGTCTCTGTTTCCAGATTCAACATCTCTTTCATCATCGCATTGAGTGCGGAGATGGTTTCTTCCGCGTCCCCGCCGGCCGCGCCAAAAGTGCTGCGCACGACCTCCTTCGGTACCGCAGGAAACATTTTGCACACTTTCTGTAGCCGAAATTCGTCCGATTGTTTGAGGCTACCGTTCCAGCAATTTCCGAGGGCCTGTCGCGTGATGTTTTCTGTTGAGCAAAGGAGTATTCCGTATGCCTCTGCGTAGTCCCCATTGCACTTACCCAAGACTGCCGCGATCGAGGGTACATCCAGGGCTGGAAACAATGAACACAGCGTGAGAAGAGATTCGTCTGCTGACTGCGTCTTCGTCTGCTCCAGCGATGCCTCCTCCTCGGTGCGCTCCTTCCAAAGGTACGCAACAACGTCCTCGACGGTCTCAAAGCCGTCCAATTTACTCAGCGTATCGGCCACCAAATCGACATCCCCGTTGGCAGAGCGAAGAGCATGCAGCAAAAGACGTGGCTCCGTGGCAGGGAACGCCTCAATAAGAGCCACGAGAGCATTCAACTCCATGTCGTCCAATCTCCCATCGTCGTTGTCTTGAGGCGTCCGCTGCCCATCACCACTGCAACAATCCACATCCGATCCTAAATCGGGCAAAAAACTCGACAAATGCACTGCCTGTTGCCGCTCCCACGGTGCCTGCATCCATGACTCCTGCTCTCCCTCTTCCTGTTTTTGTTGTTGATGCTGCTGCCGTATTTGCAACGTTTCGCCATATTTTTTTTGCATTTCCTCTAGTTTCATGTTGTTGTCACCCAGAGCTATTTCATCGGACAAAACTTTTCCAAACACCTGAGGTTTGGCGCGCCGCAAGAATTCCGCATTGTTTTCGTGACGGTACGGACAAGTGGACCCGCGATTGCACCGACCATTCAAAAATAAGACGCAAACGTCCTCGTCTCGATCCGCATGATTACAATTTTTCCCATATTTGCATGAGCCAAACTGAAATATGCAGGGATGCTTCCCCTTGTGCGATGGGGAAACGGCGGTGGCAGCGGCCTTTGATGCGGATGACAACGCTGAAGGCCCATTTGGTCCTTGCACCAGTGTTGATGGTGTTGTGTTTTGCTCTGAAGGTTGTCTTCGCACCGCCTCTAAAAATGGTCGCGGCGCCTGCACCACAGACGCGCACGGTGTCGATTGCATCTGCCATCCCAATGGATAGGGATCCGTGTGTGTGGGTTCGGATCCCTGGATAAGGTTGAAGCGGCTTGGCGGTGGTGGCTCTCCCACCAGCCCCGTGACATCTGCATTTGGCTCTGCGTCACGTTCCACGGGTCTTCCAATAAGCAGATGATGTCCGTTCACTTTATCCAGCTTAATGATAACACCCGTCTGGAGCGTAATCCTCTCTTCACGCACCTCGGGGCGACGAGCCGCACGTATATCAACGCCATCCACATGGTGCCGTCTCTTGCAGGAGTCGGCAAAGGCACAATTCCCCATGAAGTGGTTGATACATACGTCGCCAGGGAGGTCTCGCAGGAGACAAAACTCTCCGTAGCGACATTTCTTATACTGTACTATGCAAGGGTGTTTCTTCTCCTTTGGAGGGGCGATGGCCATCTCCATCTCACTATCATCGGGGGCTGGTTTCTCGTCAGGTGGCCGTGCCACATTCGACTGCAGCCGCTGCCGTTGTTTTTGTTGTTCTTGTTGTTTTTTTAGTATTCGAAGCGCGACATCAAAGTTGTTGCCGGCATCCTTCAGTGCCTGAGTTGATTTTGTTTTACTGAAGCCGCAGGACTGCAGTCTTCCTATGTTTTCTTGCAGTTGTCTCATTCTGCAGTGGAAGAGAGAACTAAAAGAAAAAGAAAGAGAAAGAGAGGGAGAAAAGCATAAGAATCGGTCGTTATGACTGTAACGTGTGGCCGTACACTCCCTTACATACATATATACATATATGCCCCATTCGCTGCTGTTTTTTCTTTAAAAAGAAGCGGGATGGTTTTGGTGAGGACGCCGCCAAAGACACAAAAGGAGGGCTCGCCTCACTTGCGTCCTCTCTCTCTCTCTCTCTCTCTCTGTTCTTTTTTTATGTCTTCCAGCGACAACCCACTCCTCCTTGTACATCATCGTCTGCACCCACAGTTCCCCAAAACGGAATAAAGAGAGAAAGAGAGGAATAAAGGACAGGAATTATCCCCCTCCCTCCCTCCCTCTCTCTCCCTCTCTCTTCCTCTCTCTTCTTTTCTCGTATCAGTTGTCCGTGAGATCAATGACACCGCAGTCGCTGATGGTAATCACCTTGCAGGGGCTTTGGTTGTGTTTTACATCTACATCGTGGATGGCCTCCACGACATTCATGCCGTCTATCACTCGGCCAAACGCAACGTAGCGTCCATTCATCCACGACATGGCCTTCATTGTAATATAAAAGGACGACGCATTCGTGTCCTCGTTGTCGTTGCACATCCCAATGACGCCAGGCGCGTCGTGTGGAATGGCGTAAGATTCGTTTGGAAAATATCGACCATAGCACGAGTAACCCCCGTTTCCGTTGTGGTCTCTAGAGATGTCGCCTCCCATCACCCACGCCCCGCGCAATATACGGAAAAATGTGGATCCCCTGTACGTCAACTCAAGCGGCTGCGCCTCGCTTTCGCCGTCTGGGACGACAGAAACGCTGCCAAGATCGCCATGGCACAAATGCCAAAAGTTGTTGCATGTCTTCGGTACTACCTGAGAGTAAAGCTCAAAGGTGATGCGGCCACAGGGAACATTGTCGATGGACACCGACATCCAGCAGTATCTGTTTCCCCGTTCCTGCAGGAACTTCTTCCATGACGCGTACGCCATCTTTTCATAGGAGTGTGCATCATCGGCGGGAACAGGGAGGAGACGAAAGCGGGTCTGTTCCTGCAGCATCTGCAAGAAAGCCTCACCGGACATGGCCACGCCACCATCCCGAAGCACAAAGACATCCATTTTTGTGTCGGCTACGCTTTTCTCATCAAACATCTTCTTTCGGCGGCTGTAGAAGTCGCGCGGGACTTCGCGAAAGATCTCCACGTAAAACTCGTCCCTGTACTCCTTCTGAAGATATTCGGCAGCCTCGCTGCATTTTTGGAACACCGGGTGGTTGATGAGGCCGCAGACGGTGAAGCTGTGACGCGTGGATGACATGCTGCGGCCCGGCAGGGAACAACGCCGAGTGGTGTGACTGAATTATTGGCTAATTGAGTGAAGCTCAGACCTCCTCCTTCCTTCCTTCCTTTACTTTTGCTCTGCAACGTCGCCTTCTTCGCTCCGGCAACAACAAAAAACAAAAGAAGAATTCATACGACCCCGCCAACACTACGCCTTCAGCATCAACGAAGACGCCGCACACACACACAAGTTTATGTACGCATGAGCGAGTCAGACTGCATAATATATATATATCTAAATACAAATATATATACCAATGATACGCGTACGCTTAAAGACTCAAAAAAAAAAAAAAAAAAATTGCGCAGCCAACGCAGGCATGCGCTGCAGCATCAATCGGAACAACAGTCTGTTACAACGGAAAAATCACCGTTAACAACATCCACACACAATAGTAACGATAGCAAGGGCAACAGTCTTTGTGCGTGCATACAACTAAACAGCGTGCACAGACCACGTGGATAGGCACGGTACTGCACGGAATGTGCGTGAGCACGAGTCCTGGATTATCACTGACGCAGCCATCTCTTCACGGCGGTGTAACGCTCGGTACCATCCTCCCCATCGAAAAGTACGGCTGCACCTGATCCAATCAGCGGCCATAATCCGCCAAAAGAGAGCAACAAGCAGACGCACATCGTGCCAGCAATACGGTTCCGGCAAAGCGCTGACTCAATGTCCTCCCGCAGCGATGTGAGTGGCAGCGGCGGCGGCGGCATGGAGAAGGCGCCACCCACGTTTTTCACGATGTTGCCTATAAAATCCATGCCCGTCGAACTCGCTCTCGAGGGAGGCTCCGTGTAAATATCAGACAGGCACAAGGAGTTCACGTACATGTCCGTGATCGCGAATCCACCCGCGAAGCCAAACAACGCCCGACGCGCCCCTAACATGTTGATTTTGATGTTGTTCTGTTTTTATTTGGGTTTCTCGTCTACGCAACGTATGTGTACGTTTGCACCATTCACCTTCACAGTACGTGAGTTAAATAATAATAATAATAATAAAGCGGGGAAAACACATGTAGAAGCTCCAAGGGCACAGAAACACACTTACACGCGTGTACATCCGTGCACGCACGCCCTCACAGAAAGATGAGGAAAAATGGGATACATCAAGGTGGCGTTCTCATGTGAACTGTCATCTCGCGGAGAGATAATGGGTCACAGGACCAAGCAGCAGCCCGCCCCATGCCCCAGTCCTCCCCCCAACCGCCAACAGCAACAGAAAAAAAAAAAAAAAAAAAAAAAAAAAGGAAGATCACGTGGTTAAGAAAAACAAATTGACGGGGAACCCACCCTCAACACAAGACCATACATGTGGATAAATAAGTCTATACGTGACTGTTAATTAGAATTGGGAAAACACAGAAAAATCAAACAAGTACATCGTATTTCTATCGCAAGAGTCTTCGCAATGAAGTCATCTCAGCTTCCGGGAGAGACGGGGTAAAGCAACAACTCCTTTACGGTGACATTGGCCGCGATTCGAAGTTCAACCCACAGGGTTGGTTTTTTCTCGTGCTCCCCCATGTACAAATGGACGGAAGCACCGTCTTCGGTGACCACATTCGCCAACAGGACGAAGTTTATCCACTTTTCCTCCTCCTCCTTGTCCAACTTCATCTCAACCACTCGTACCGTTGGCTGTTTCGTCAAATGGACAGAAAATTGCTCGGCAGACAACCTATGTGGCTGTCCAACCAGCAATGCACTTTTGGTCTTTTCACGCTCGCCAGAAGAAAGAAAGCCCACACCGCCCAGCGTGCAGCCCAGCGGATGATCCGGCGAAGTATTCAAAACAGATATGGACGTTATATGTGACCAATTTGTTCTTGCAGGAATAGCATAACGAAAAACATACCACCCACCCACAGACGCAACGACACCTGTCCCATCGGGAACATTCTCCTCGTCGAATACAATCTGAGAGGTGGAATCCCCAAAACTGCCTTCAACAAGCAGGTGCGGCAAAAAAAAATTACCTTCATTGGAGCCACGCCACCACGCCGCGTCAATAAACGCCAGCACACCATTAATGTTACTGCATCCAGCAAGACTTATTTTCGAACGCATGAGGGTCACGGCACTTGCGGAAGGCAAATTAAATCTCATGCTTCGATCACCCATCCACACCGGGTCTGTTATCCACTCCACGGGCAACACGGAGCGTAGTTTGTCATCATCGCTTTTCAGTGGTAACACGCACCAGGAGTCTTTCTCACTCGAGCTGAGGGAGAACTGATAACAGGGAATAAAGTGCGTCCGGGAGAGTTGACACCACTCCACGACATGCGTACTCCCATCCACAACGCGTTTACCATTTAAGTAAAACTGCTTCCCCACACCTGAGCGGAAACAGCTCCAGAGAGGCAGCGTGTCATACTCAATACACTTCCTTTCAAATATTTCCTGCAGCCCAAACCACATTTTGGCATCGGCGCGAAGAAAAGTCTCCCGGTTACCATTTCCCTCCTCCTCCAACGTCCATCCAGGGGCAAAGAGTGCAACGGAAAGCTTCGCATTTTCCGCACATTCCGCGGCCTTGCCACTGTCATACCCACCACCTCCATACATGTTACTGCGACCAAATACGTCCACTCCGACATACACTGCTCGAGCACGATCACCCGCAAGTGCCGCCGAGACGGGCAGTTGCCCTGGGCTCCATCCGTAATTTGTGAATAGACCACTAGCCACATCAAAAAATGGCTTGTTCTCTGGCGTGAGACTGTTCTGGTATTTCAGTTTTCCTTTTATGGTGACAGCATCGTACCAGAAGACCGTCCTTTCAAAGGAGGATAGGGGACGGTTCTTGTTGAGTGCATGCAGCAGCTTAGCCAAAAATGGCACCAACCGGCTTGCAAGTATCGGGTCCAGGCGATTCTCAACGTTAATCAAATAACCGTCAAAATTATACGCGTTGCAAACCTCAACCAGCTGATAAATGACTTTATCCATTTCTTCCACGTTGTCAAGCATCATGCAAATGTCTGACGCGTCCCACTCCGTGAGGAAGGTGCCGAGCATGGGAACACCCTCACGGTGCGCGGCGTTGATCCACTCCTTCGGCGGGATGGAAACACGATGGTGCGAAAAGTAGACAAAGTAATCCACAAGATTCCAGTAGCTCACCGTGTAACTGTTGTCTACCACCGGGTTCAGAGAGGAAGAGGCGTCACAAAGTGCAAAACGGGCGTAATCACTGGGATTGTACCCACCGCGCATATCATGGCAGATCAAAAGTCGAGTGGCTTTCAAGGGATTGCCAACAACACGCCGATGACAAGCCACAGCGGGCGTGATGATACCCGGTTTAGTAGCTGACCATTCCCCCAGCTCCTTAAGGGATGACAGCGGCTGTCCGGCATCATGCTGAATAATTTGCAATGCAGTATCGCCTGGGTCCTGTTCCGTAACCCCTTCCGGGGGATCGATCTCCTGAACGTCATGCGACACCTCATGACAGGTGGGGTTTTTGTCCACAGAAACAGATACGGGTGCCTCTCCATCCACCGCGTCCATCAGCTCGTTCAAATAGGCAATCATGATACTTAATATTTCCTCGCTGCCATCTACATCACTAAGATACCATTGCTGCCCTGTGCCGGAAGGATGCTGACGCAGACGAAATCCAGAAAGACGAAAAATCTCAACCACGCCAAATTTCTCCAGTGGAAGCAATTTTGTTTTGTAACTTTGACTGGTTGTGAGAAGTCCTCGGTACTTAGGCTCAGTCGGTTGCTCCAATATATTCAACAGGGATGTGCGAAGAAGTGCAATAGCCCCACGCGTGATATCGAAGCCTTCCTGAGTGCCCGAGGACAAAAACTCATTACTCTGCAGCATCGCCAAAGCAAGCATAAGGTCCTCCTCTTCGGCTTCTGTAAGTTGCGTCCTTGTCGAATGCAGACCAACTTCTTCGGCCGCGGGAGGGGCACCCCCTTGTAGGGTTGATGGCGGGGCCGAATTCCCAGCTGCAGTTACGCTCTCCAGCAGGGGACGCAACATACGACCAAGAGGCGTCCCCAACACTTTGGGGATCATATTGCGTATTTCATCTGGAATATCTCGGTTTACCAAAAATCTCGCCGCCTCCTGCGTGAAATGATTGCAGTTGCGGTAAAGAAGGCTGTAATCATTTGGACCAAATCCAATGCCACGTTGCTGCTGCGTCCACATACAAAATTCCGCCTCCGTTTTGGTTGTTTCTCCCAGAACCTCAACGCGCCTTGGCTGACCAAAACGTGTTTTCCCCGGGGACTCGTAGACAATGCCCGTGCCGCCGTCAAAGTAAAACTCCTTCTGATAGACGACGATGGCGGTGTGCCAGATCGCATCCAACTGCTCCCCAATCAACATCTTGCTCATATTTTCAGCCATTCCGCCCGACAAGTCATAACAGTACAGTTGGACGAGTGATTGGCGCATACCGATCCCTTTTCTGCGGAGTAGTGGACTTCAGCTTCACCCAAAAAAGTATCCTTTTCTCTTGTTTTTTTCTTTTTCCCTTTTTTGAAAATGTTGTTGCCTTTTTCCGTGTTTGGTTTCCCTAATAGTTTTCCTGCCAACAGAGAAATAAAAGACGTGACATGAATGCCCTCCACCCAAAGATGGTTATGAAGGTGCCAGAAGAATCACGGACATCACTCGATAAATGGCCAGTACTTCAGAGCAACAAACAACACCGCAGCTGTCGCGGCACGACTCTATGGGATGGTGTATGGAGGGAAGGAAGTGGATGCGAACACAAATAAAATGGATAAAACGTGACAAGAGGCTTTCCATCACGTGAAAAGCCCATCAACCTTACAGGGAAAATCACGGGGAAAAAAAGAAAGAAACATAAATAAACAAATAAAGAAAGAAAGAAAGAAAGAAAGAAAGAGAGAGAGAGAGAGGCAACAATAATCCATACTGTGAAACGGGAGAAAGCACCAGGACTCACACCAATTGTGTGAGACCGTCGCTGCTGTTGTGTCATGGTGAAATCCTGCTGGGAACAATAGCGGGAGACATTGACCGCCGTACATGTAAGTGCCATTTGTTTCCTACTTTTGCCCTGGAGCCCTGTCCCAAAAAACAAAAACAAAAACAAAAAGCAAGGCGAAACAAGAGAGAGAGAAGAGTGGATCCATTTCAAAAATGCGGTGGTGAAAAAAAAAAAAAAAAAGAAAGAATAAATAAATTAAGAAAAAAAAAAAAAATAAAAATAAAGCAAAAGCCTCCCCTCACCTTCTCTTCTGAGGCTCTAACGGAGATGGACATGAAGTAATCGTGATAACAGAAGCATAATTTCAATAATTAGAAAAAGAAGGGGCGGAAAAAAAAAAAAAAAGACATCTAAAGCGCATTGCGGTACAAATAATGATTGAAGAATGTACAAAAAAAAAAAAAAAAAGAGTGTTAATCATGTAATAAAAAGCTGCAACAGGAAGGGATCAAAGAAAAGTCTTTTAAAGGTGTTCATCAACACACAGCCACGAAGATCAATTCCCTATCTATTTCCCTTCCCCCACAAGGAGAGAAGTGTACATGTGTGTGTCTCTCTCTTTTCGAATCACTCTGCCGATGGCATGCCGGAGACTAAGGTTTACGGGCGTGAGACAAATGAGTCCAACATCACACCTCACTGTTATCCAGGGGAGACGCTGTCACTGTCGTGGTATCCTCAGAGGTCAGCAACAACTGCACGGTGGTGGATTGGCTCTCTGTTTTCTCTTCTTCCAACTGGAGGAGGATCTCTGACACCTCCTCCTGGCTTAGCAGCTCGTGACGGCATTCATTTGAAGTGGACGGGGACAGACTTGAGGGTCGCCTGCGTTTCGCGCCACAGCGACGCGAGGTGGAGATGGTGAGAGATGTATCGGAGCCCCTCTCCGTCTCTACGACTGCCTCGACGTGAACACAACTGTTGTCGCTTACGTCGCAGACAAACGGCAGCGATGTCAGCGCAGCGCGCTCCTCCGGACACACGGCGTTGGGGTGCAGGGACTCCAACTGCGCCGCCGTCTCACTTTGGTCCAGAGTGCCCACGTCAAACATGCTTCGTAGCTGCAGACGTGTAAAGTAGCGGTAGAACTCTGCGCTGTCACGCCCCGTCTGTTCCCTCACTGAGGTACCTTGTTTTGCCGCCATGACCTTAAAAACCTGGTTGCGGTACACTTTTTCCTCCACAGTGCCGCACGTGATAAGACGGTACACAACAACGTCGCGTGTCTGGCCGATGCGGTGGACGCGGTCAATTGCCTGTGCGTCTGATGATGGGTTCCAGCTTGGGTCCATTATGATGACTGCTGAGGCGGCTTCGACGGTAAGGCCAACGCCACCAACCTGCGTCGTGAGGAGACAGACTAATAGGCGCTCACTCTGGTTGAACCCTTGGACGGTCTTCAGACGCTCCTCTGCCGGCACGTCGCCATCCAGGCGTGCAAAGTCAATCCACCAACACCTTAGCGCAACGGCCAAGAGATCTAACAGACGTTTTGACCGTGAGAAAACAAGGGTCTTGCGCTGCTCTCCAATGCATTTCACAACCAACGCGATAGCCAAAGAAATCTTCGAGCTGTTGAGGGCATCACCGAAATTGCGGTTTGCCTCTGGAATTGCCAGTGGATTCTGCATCGCCTCTCGATATGCCTCATCGCTAAGGCTGAGCCACGGGTGATCACACGTCCGCATCAGCGATGTGAGAAGAACAAGCGGCTGAGACGTGTCTGCACTACGAAGTGTCACGTCCACGCGTTCGGTTTTGAGGAGAGAGAAGTACTGCTGCTCTTGTGTATTGTTCAAACGCAGCCAAATAATAAGGTCCCTCTTTCCGACACGTAACATCTGCAATTGACGCTTGTCGCGACGAAGCATGAAGGGGCGTATGGCAGCCTGGATGAGTGCCAACTGCCTTCCCGCGTCGCCTCGCTCCTTCTCAAGCGCATCGCGCTCATTTCCGCGCAGTAAAACCGCATTAATAGAGCGAAAATCCGCCCGTGTGGTCCCAAGGATGGAGCCGTCAATAAAATGAAAAATACTCCACAGGTCCTCAAAGTTGTTCATTAAAGGGGTCCCGGTAATGGCAATGCGGTGTCGAGCTGAAAGGGCCATTGCACTCTGAAAAACATGCGTGGACGCATCCTTAATCAAGTGTGCCTCGTCCATGATAACATAGTCGACCATTCGCACCCCCATAGCACTACTGTCCTGCCGCAACACACCGTATGTTGTGAGAAACAGACAGGGGGTGCCATGCTTCAGCCTTTGCCAGCGCTGAAGCCGTTTGTTCTTAGCATCATTGTGAATCACTTCCACAACCGGTGGACCCAGGCGTCCCCATTGCTGGAGCGCTAACCCCCATATGGGCAATAAGGTGGGCGGCACGACAATGATGGTACTTGTGACAAGCTGGCTCATGTAAAGCGCGCCAACAAAAGAGGCAATTTGCACCGTTTTACCAAGCCCCATTTCGTCTGCGAGAAGACAACCACGGCCCTTCCGGTGCCTCTCATACAGCCATTGAACACCTTCCCTCTGGTAGTCGAAGAGCTTCAACTCGATCTCTGGAGAAATGGGCAACGTCTCCGGAAGGGGTATGGCGGCAGAAGAGGCTGTTTTCTTGCGGCTGCTGTCGATTCGGATTGTGTTTATCGAATCATTCTCGCGCAGCTTGGCAGAGGGAGTCGGTGTGATGGTAGTGTAATGACTGATAGAAAAGAGCTCTTCCAGTTCCTCGTCGTTCATTGTTTTGCTGTTCCGTCTGAATGTGTGTATGATAGAAAAAGCAAGCAAGCAAGCAAACAAACAAAAGAAAGCATGGCTACATTCAATCCCCACCCCGTCCATTCCCTTCTTTACCAAAGAGACGATAATTTTCATGAAGCAGATCAAAAATGTGGCCCAACACATTAAGGAATATATACACAACGTTACACCTCCCCTGTATGCATGCATACGCACGAGGGATATATTATTGGATATCTAACGCAAGGCGCACTCCTGGCCATTCTTTTTTTTTTTTTTCTTTTTCATTTTTAATTCTCCTTTTCGTTCTTTTCTAATCTTCATTAGGATACATGTATACACACACTCACAAAGACACTTTCTCATCGGTATGGTTGATAGGGAGAAGACCATTATCGCGCACGACACTGTCTCGCAGGCGCAGCACGGAGCTCTGCAGGCGCTGGATGCCGTATAGACCGTTCAACTCCACTGTCGATTCGGTCACCATGAAATTGGAGCCAGGTGAGAGAAATATTCCGTTGCCACCGTTTCGCAGCACACTGGATCGCTCCAACGTCCCTTCTGCACCCTCGTATCCAACAATGCCATCCGTTGTGTTCTCTTCCAGCACAGTCTCCCTTGCATACATGGAGGACTTACTCGCCACCCGAACCCCTGCTTCACAGAGCGTCACTTTACACTGCGTCATAACTGCCTTTGCGCCATGGCGCAAAAATACGCCCGCAAATGTGCAGGAGGAAATTAATGAGAGATGCAGACGGATATCTGTGTGCAGACCCACAGCCTCCACTGCACAGCTTCCCTGGTAGAAGTGACAGCCGTGAAATTCTACATGCGCGCCATCTGCCACGGCAACCAGCGGGCAATTTGGCGCGGATACATCCACATGCATCTTCCCCAATGTGTCGTTTTCCACCAACACCACACCACTGAGCCGCAACCGCGTCTTTCTGCCTGCTGCCCGGATGATAGGCTCCAGATTACTCAGTGGCCTAATAATAACCGGCGCACCAGGGAAGACAGCAACCAGCTCCACATCGCCGCTGTTCAGGAAGCACAGATTTTCATGGTACACGCCCGGTTCCAGAGTGACGGAGTCTGTATCTGCAAGCCCGCCTTTTGTCAGAAGTGCACCAATAACTGCAGCCCTCTTATGCTTGTCCGGCTTCAATTTGTGCACCATACCAATCGAGCGATGCTGGTTCAATTGTTTATCCATTTTTAATGCTGCCGGCGCCACCGCTGCCCGCACTTCATCGTTAGGCCTCACAGAGCTGCATTCTGTCGCTGGCATCTGCGCCCGCAAAAAATGCGAGTTGTTTGTGGGGTTCATATCTTTGAAAGATACATCACGGAGTCTTTCACCATCCATGTCTGTTTGCGTTCCCGTAGACACCGTCTCTACCCTCACCGCATGAACAGCCGCGTCACACCTTCCAGGAGATGTGCTTTCTGTTTGCGTTGCCACACTTTCCCCTGCAGTGCTTTTTAAGGGGACCGCAGCCCCCGCCGTTGTGTTTTGTGTTGCGGTTGCCGTCCTATTCAAAATTGTCCCACTCAAATCCTGAAATCGCTGGGCGCACGTGGTGAAGTGTTGCATGAACCTCATCGCATGGACGAGAAGATCCCCCTCCACGATAGCCCTCCCGTTCAGCTGATCCAATAGCCGGCGCAAATCAACGGACTCCATGTCTCGCAGCAGATCCTGCATCTCAGCGTAAACGGTATTCGACTCTGTTTCAGACATACCCGGTTCAATGTTTACGTTCCTCGCCCTGGATGCCGCCTCAACACCGTCTGTAACATCCGACTCCTCATACTTCACCCGCAACGCAGCAAACATCGTCTCCTCTCTACCAGCAAATGCTTCCAGGAGTGAGTCCACCTCGCATAACTTTGCGGGGTTGTGCTTCTGATAGAATGCAACTAGTCTCTCTCGGAAGCCCATACGACACGCCACGAGAACGCAGAATGCATGTACAGGAAAACCTCTCTCTCTATCAGTGGCATTTAATGGAGGCGCGGGCAGCAATGAGCATTTCCATGCGGCAAAACATAGTGAAAAAGGAAACAGACGAAAAATGTACAGACGAGAGAACAGAAGGGAACGTGCAGGCAACTCACTCCGCAGCGGCACAAAATCACGTCTCGGAAACCCACAGCCCCAAGAAATACACAACGTGGAAAGAAAATAAAACAAACAAACAAACAAACAACAAAAAATCGTCACTGTGGACTTTCTCTTTGGCAGACTTTTTTTAAACCCTTTTTTCTTTTTCTTCTTTTTCACACGCACTCACTGTCTTTCTTCTAATTGCCTTCTCTATGTATCGCATGACATTTACGCTCGCTTAAATGGGCACAAACAGCTGCTTCGCCGCACTGAATTTGCGTTCAGACTCGTCAATCTCTTTGAGTTCACTTTCAATCCTGTTCCGTCTCGCCTTGATCGACTGTGTATCGTATCGGATGGGAATTTTGTGCAGCTCGTATTCCAGCTCTTTACGCCTGCTGGCAAGTTTTGCGAGGGTTTCCTTCCGTTCCTCCTCTGTGACGGGGCGGTGGCCTGGTGGATACTTGGCGATCTCCTTCTGCCGCTCCATTTCGCGCAGCACCGCCACCTTCTCCGCTGCCAGCTCCGCCTTGCGCTGGATAATATACTTCGGCACCACACCGCGAGGAACATTCACTGCGGAGACCGGTGCCTGTTCCTTTTTTGGCTGAACCGGAACGCGAGGGAGAAGCTGCTCCGGCTGCGGCTTGGGTGGCTGCTTTGTGCCGCCCCGGCGCCGCAACGCATCGCTCTCCATGAAGCTGAATTCTTGCGCCCGGCCCTTTTCGCACTCCCGGATAAACACTTTGATCTCCACGTCATCGCCCCCGCCCCTCAGCTGGCCGTATCCGTGCGAAGAAACATGATTGTACCGCGCCTTCTGGCGCTGAATGAGTTCCTGCGCCCGTCTTTCTTCCACCTCGGCCTCCCGCGCCCTCTCGCGATTCAGCTGCTGCTGTTCCCGTATCTGCAGGTAATTCTGCCGAGCTGCATTGCACGACATGCACGCTCCCGGCACAAATATGTGAGTCTCGCAGTTCTCTCTCGCTCTTTCTCTGTGTGTTTGAGTGCCAGGCCTCTCTTAAACACACAAGGGATCTATTGCTCTTGTGCTGCCTCTCCCTTCTCTCCAATTCCTCTCGGGAAGTACACACATCCACACAAATGGAACAGGAACGTCCGTGTTGAAAAAGAAAAACCAAATAAAAAAAAAAAAAAAAAAAAAAAAAAAAAGAGGATGCGTCACTTCCAGTCGCTTCAACGGGAAGGCAAAAAAAAACAAACAAACAAACAAACAAAGAACAAAAAGAAAAAAAAAAAAAAGCAACAAGGCAATCGACAGAGGAAAATGGTCACAACAGAGTCGATTCCCTCTTCCTGTGAAACCGCATTTACCATATTCCTTTTTTTCTCCTCCTTCCCCTGGAAAAGAGAATGAATAACATATTCTCACACCTCTTCCTTGCACCCTTCCAATTGTATGGCCTCAGCGCCACAGCCCACGCAGCTTTTTTCTTCGCAACATATAAGCACACATACACCCACACCACATACACGCCACCCATTCTTCTCTCCGCTCTTTATGTATTGCTAATGATTTCCCGAATTTTTCGCTTCAATGTGTCCAAATTCGCCCCAATGACGTACCCAATCAACTTGCCATTTTTCACAAGCATAAAAGTGGGAAGTTGAAGAACTTTACACTTTGATACAATCTCCGAGTTATTGTCAGCATCTACCTTTGCGAACCGCACTGTCGGAAATTCAAATGTAATCTTCTCCATGGCCCGTTCGATGGTCTTACAAGGGCCACACCACACAGCTGTAAACCATGCAACTGTAAGCAGGTCCTCATTTACAATTTCCCTGAATTGCTCTACGCTGTAGACATCCACCACTGGCATTTCCTCCTTGATCTCCACCGTGTTCTTCCCTCTCCCACCCTCTCCGGCGTGGTCTAGAGGGCCTCAAATAGAAAATCAGAATACGCAAATTGAAAGGAAGCTGCGTGAGTCGTTATCCACTTTCACCGCCCTCCTTCCCTTTTTCGTTCCTTTCCCTTTAAACCCTGAAGTGACCACAAAAAATAGAAAAAAAAAAAAAAAAAAAGAAATAGAATATACATATATATGAATAATCTTCCGGGCAGCTGGCCGGATCCTGAAATAATCTATGGAAACCAAACAAGTTAAGAAAAAAGGTTCGTTAGTTAATTGCTTCAATGTTTTCTTTTCATTCAATATATATAGAATTCTGTGGACCACTAGCATGGTCCTTTGTCCTTACTTAGGATTTAAATATAATTACTTACGAAGTGGCAGACTTTGGGGTCCTCCAGCCACAAGACCCCGCCGCGTGGTGGGAATCAAGGGGCTGGGTGGGTGGCAAAATAAAAACCAAATATTATCTGGCCTCCATCGGTTCCCTGCCCTTACAAAGTCTCGTTCTTCCCAAAAGATTCATACGGTAGAAAGTATCATAAAGAATGCCTTCATTTATCAGGATATACATACATTAATTAAGTTAGCCAGCTCTCCCGCGATCATTCTCTTCACAAGCTCCTAATATATACAATGAAGAAGAAGCAAAAAGAGGGAAAAAAAAAAAAAGAAAAAAAGAGCAAAATGAGGCAAAGATCGGACAAGTTTGTACCATCCGACCATGCATTTTATACTTGCGTCAGGGCTGAAGCGCAGAATTTATCCAACGAGTTAAGGAGACTTCTTTTCCGCACCTTCGCCTTCTTGTTGGTGCGCTGACGGGGATGTTGGTGGAGTTGATGTAGAAAGGAAGTCTTCTAGTGAGTATCCACCCGGAAGATAGCGTTCATTGGGATCAATTTCTCGAATAAGGACGGAGTGGTCGTCCGAGGAGCGACCTCTCTTCCTACTCCCTTTTGAAAGCACCCGGAACGACCAACGCTTGTAGAAGTGGGCGACACTCTTGTTCAACGGAGAAAGTGAAACGGAGTTGCCACCCTGTCTCCTCATCCACTCCATTGCCAAAAAGAGTAAAAACGACCCCAATCCTCGCCCCTGATATTCCTTTGTGCACGCAATAATTGGGATCCATCCCATGCTGTCCATCGACAGAATCGCTACAATACGACCGTCCTTTTCATTAACCACCTCAATACGAAATTCGGCCGCAAAAA